TGGATTCGGGAGCATAATTTCGTACTTTATAACCAATTGCGACCACGCATATCCACACATCTGTGTGATTATGACAGACAGATACCATGACTATTCATTATGAGTTTGTTTTGATCCATGGGACAAACGGATTTTGAGTTAGCCGACGATACGTTGCTGCTAAGTTGTTATTGCCATTTTCTCGGTTAAACAAAACAGCGATTCACGGCAACTGCAGGCCTTTGATCTCGAGTTTTAGTGGACGCATTATACTAATTTTTCGCACAGACACTCTTCGATATGTTCCCTCTCAAGCCGCGCTGGGATTTTTCTATTTTCCTATTTGTTTCGAAATTACATTCTAATTTCTTAATACCGGAAAGAACCAGATCGCATTGTTTTTTCAAGATAGCTAAATTATTATTTATTCTCCAACTATCATGTAGATATATATCTCAATTAACACGGAATGGTGGTGAGCGTCGTCTGAAAAACTGTTTTGTTGCCAATGTTCCACTAAATTTGTTTATTTATTAGTTCAATTATTTTTTACCGAAAATGGCTTTCTGTGTTTACACAGAGATCACGTGACTATACACGTCCATACACACACTATCTTGTCGATTTCATATCCAGTGTGAAATAAGCTTTCCATCAATATATAGCTTTGTGCTGTTCAGTAAATATTTTATATGGAAAATCAATACCAAAAACGTGTACAGCATCGAATAGCGAAGTATTTATATATCTCGATTATTTGAATGTGTGCGACCGTTGCTGCAATTTAGGCAAATATAAAAGGCTCATTATATAATGAATTAGAAGCGCCCTTTCGCATATTGTCGCTCCAATGTTTTCGATTTCAGTGGCAATTACTCCAAGAGCTGCAATTACTGTGTAGAATTGATCGATTGTCAATCTAGACACCGGTCACTTCGACCTAGAACGCGAGTTCATTTCCAGTACGAAAAATAAACAATTTCGTTATTGGAGGCAATGAAATGAAATAGGGACACCACACTGCACTGCCCATAATTAATCGGATGGGCATGTAATATTGCGTACGACACTGTCCTACCGTCTTTGCCCCGTTGTAACACAATAATTAAGCGGCAGTGCGTCGACCTTTGATTCATAAATAACGTTAAGTGCTGGTTAACCCTCGACGCCGTGGTAGCTATACCGCCCATCGCATTAAAGCCTGCCAATTTGACGATATTTGTCGGATCTGTTTGTTTAATCACTGGCGCGTATCATTTGAGAAAACCTCCACGTAAATTGTATTACCAGTTAATACCTCCTTACTTAGATTTGCCTACATAGTTGGACTATCAGCTATTGGTAAAGGAATCATAGACCTTTCGCCTTAATCTAAATATGATTAAATGATTCGATGCTAGACATTAGCGCAAAAGAAAAAAGGACGTCGCTTCATTAGTTTTCAATTTGATTGAATAATGCTGTTTCCATAGAACCCGGCAGTTTTCTTTCAACACTATGAAATATGTATGATGAATATAATCCTGGAATAATGTATGTTATTGATGATATGCTAGGTCTATGCTTGGTTCTCGAGAAAGATACAAATAAACTATTATTATTACCAAGGCTGTTAGTTATAAGTCTTTTCATCTTAGCTTAAACTCGTAACGTGTTTTAGGCGCGTTGCGCGGCATTTGAGAGTAGTTGCGTAATATCGCGGTTAATTAAAGCCCTAGTGCATTTCATTAGGCAGAGTTATATTGGGTAATAATATGAACAATAGGAGCATGCTGCCATCAAGTGTTTATATAATTAAAAGCCGACTTCAACAACGTGTCGATGCCCCGGAGCACTACCAGCGACATCAATTCAAAGTTTACAGAGGTGTCACCGATGCCAATAATTAAATTTGCGGGTTTTAGCAATGACAGATATTAGGTCATATACTAACAGGCGCGATTATTGTACACAGACACATATGACTGTTACTTACTGAGAATGTTCCATTTTCTATGTCCGTCATCTCCAAAAGGGAATAATCCGCGTCTCTGTCTCCGTTGTCATCTATTCTCACATCGCCACTGATGCCTGTGTTGTAAAAACAGAAACTGACGGTCACACTCTACCCAGGGCAATACATGGGCATGGATAAAAGCATGGATACAATCCACCGTGTTGTGGCAGCAATGGTAAATGTTTGAATAATTTAGAAAAGTATATGTCGATATGTGGTTGATTGAATCGGTGATTTGCTACATCGATTGGGATTCTTCTCGTGAATGGTAATATTTGGGAAAACGTTGAGAAAGTATGTGGGCATTTTCGTGAGCTATAAACAAGTGCCTCGGGGAATCAAACCATTTTGTATTACGTACTTGACATACAACACACATTTTCGAATAAGCAGTTCTAAAAAATATAAGATGACTCATTTTAAAACGTCTGCCTAAAAAATTGGACGAATCTTCCTGGATGAAATAAACAAATATTGTGTTTCTGTTTGAAGGTATTTATTTATCGAACCTTGTCTGGCATACATGACAAATGACTATCGTAGAGGGCGATTAACAATTAATGCTAATGAAGTATTCACTCGTTCAATAGAAGATATGTGTCATTTTATATTAACATGCGAGTCACGGTATGATATCATTCATTCAACCGTAACTGTCAGAACGGCTGGAATAAAGTTCCGTATTCGAACTATGACAGGTAAACAGGTGCTCGTAAATAAGTTCATAAGAATCATGCAAGCTTAAGAGTCAGATCTGTACGTATTTCCTGCTGACTGTGTCCAAGACTTGAATATAAATGCAAGTTTAATATGCAACAGAGAATTTTAGCGACATGTTTATAACTGTCAAATTACCACGAGGTACATTCGCGGGGAATGAATAGAGAGATATATTATTAAAGCCATGTGACTCACCTTCAAATGTTCTGTTCCACATCTTGTGCGTGATTGTGTGACCGTCGCGCGGCGTGCCGCCTTCCTCCAAAGTCTCGTTGAGCGCTAATGCGTATAAAATAACGGCGTCGTGAAAAGCACCTACAAAACTGTTCACCTACAAATCCAAGACACGTTATGAGAACGAAGTGTTCTGTGTTCACAGTGAAATCATCGTTTGTAATGTCAAGACAATCTCGAAATACACGTGATGAACCGATAGTTGCTATTGTTCAATAGTGTTTAAAAGACATTTATTTTAAATGAGATATATGTTTTTCAAACTAACTTAATAACAGAAATAAAAAGAATGGACTCACATCTTCCCCCTCCTTGTCATAGTCAAATCCGTAATCCTCCAGTGCTCGCTGTTTCACTTCTCTAGCGAAATCTTGGTATTCTTTCGTATCGGGCTTTCTCAAAGTCAAAGTCATCAGCGAACGATAAGCTTCCTTCGCGTCCTCGTCTCTTGCGTCACCTTCTGTTCCATTTTTCCAACCAATATCTCCGAAGTAGGCACTGTCGAATAGTTGTATGTTAAAAAAGGCATATTCAGCACGACCAGTTTTCTTATTTATCTTCGTCATCCCCAGGTCGTGGGCGGCTAACATGATTTTTCTGACGGCTGCTCCGGATGCGCACATTACCACAACTAGCGTAAATGAGAAAACGTAGTTTACATGAAACAATTTCAATTAAAACTTTGACAAAATCTAATTCATATAAGTTAACAGGAGTTTATAGATCAAGGTCGTGCAATAACTGACACTGGAAATGTCATTATTCATTTTTCCTCAAGAAGTATTAATCTGTTCCTTGAAATGACACAAACACTGATTCCATGGAATAGAACAAAAAAAATGTACCAAATTTGTCACTCTGGGTGAGTGCAAATCAAGTTTGCTGGCTTTAATATTCTGCTTTATTTTGATTTATTTTGTCGATTTCAACAAAAATAAAAAAAAACGTTCCGGTTGGGTGGAACACTCTCCTAATTTTTATAGGATTGAGTATATCTAGGCAGATTATTTCATTTTTTAGAAATGCGTGTAGACTAATATAAGATAAGATTTCTGATATGTTTAATCCCCCCCCTCCAAAAAAAATATCGTAGTTCGTTCATTGTGCTGCGACTCGGACCGTTCACTGCAGCAATGACTGCGCGAAAATATGATTGACTGTTAGTAGGTAACTCGACTGAAAGCAATTTCACTCAGCGGTTAATCACTTTGTTTAATAACTTAATAAGTCGACTCCAATGAATGTTACCGGTAAATCGATGCGTCGGAAAATCGCTACAGTGTGTGCACTCAGACGTTGGATTAGCGATAAATTCCCTTAATACATTAAACGAACGTCTTTTAATAATGGCTAATTGTGCGTAATACACCAACTAATAGGTAATGTTCTGTAACAGAAGAGGCTAAGGTCAAATAGAGGGCAAATTACTAAAGGGATTATCATAAAGTATACAAAAGTACAATAATAGTATAACATATGATCCGTTGTGTTCAGAATACATCGATACGCGATTTGCTCTGCTTGTCCAAATAGTTTTTAAAATGGATTAACGTTGTTAGTTGAGATAATTGAATAACCATGGTAACAAATGTCTAGCGCTAATATTCTTAACCAATACTTGAATAACAGAAAATATACCATTGTCGTAACGTGGAGGCGGCAATAAATATAGACTGGCCATTATTGTGTGCGACGGTAGATTTGATTACAAAGCGCAAAGCAACAACTTCGCCGGCTGTGAGTATAAGCGCCGGTCTTCTTAATTAGCGCTCTTTTGGTTGTAATTGAACAGTGTGGCAGGAGACGTTACTAGAAAAATTAGATACACATTGTCAAACAACAACGAAACGCCTACTGTGAAGCACTAAATCCGTCGCGCAGAGCATGTTCGCAGAAATTGTTGCGTAAGAAGCTCAATTTGGATATAATTAAACTATGTTGTGGTTTGAGTTGGGGGCAATGCGACTAAAACAGTAATTGAAATTCAGCACACTATTTTTTTTTAAAACACGTTGCTTGCATAAAACTGACCAGACACAGTCAATTTACCAGACTATTGAACAACTAGGAAAAGTGAAAAAAAAAATACTTCTTATCGCCAGCATAAATGCGTAATTATTTTGTTTTACAGAAAAAGTAATTTTTCACCTTTGATTAAGTAACGGGTCATAGAATGCAGATAGGGGCATGGCAAACACACCTTTGCAAAGCGTGAAGTCTGGCGATTCTAAAAATATATACTAGTACTTTCCTGGGTCTATTTGTAGTCATTTGGTCACAATTAGAAGATGAAAACAAGTAAGCAAATAACAGTCTCGCTACCTTAACACAGTGTTTTATTTATTTATTTGTTGTCATTCAGTATCATGAGAGACAATCGGGGCATTTTGTAAGCGTAACCCCAACGAAAAAGACGCGTTTTAACACTAGTTTGAATATCACTATACGGCAATCGTTTGACAAATATTTTATGAGTCAGAAAACAAGACATCTGTATTTAACGATGACGTAAACTGTCAGTGATGTTATTGAGTTCAGTGTATAGACTTCCGGTTAAAAGAAATAAAAAAAAAATATTTGCTGAATTTTATATTGGTGATTCATCTCTCAAGTTGAATATGTAAAACATCTCATACTGTTAGATAATTTCAGGTTCCGACACTTTTGATGAGGAAAGGATAGATATTCCGCCCTCAAGTTGAATGTGTATGATTTCACCCTTCAATTTGAATATGTATGAAGTCTTACACTGTTTTATAATTTCACTGGAACATGTGTCGACACGTCTAATTAGGGAAGAATATATATTCAAATCATGATTACGAGAGAGACCAGACAGCCGACCATAAATACCAGCCATATTCCAGACGATATTCTGTATTATATATTAAATTATGAATTT